GATCCCGGGACTCCAGGATCATGACCTGAGCTGAAGGCAGTCGCTTAACCAACTGAGCCACCCAGGCGCCCAATAAATAAAATCTTAAAAAAAAAACCTTTGTATCTATATTCCACACCATATAAAAAAATTGACTCACAATGGATCATAGACCTAAGTGCAAAACCTAAAACTACAGAACTTCTAGAAGAAAACAGGAGAAAAATCTTTGTGGCTGTGGGTTAGGCAATGTTTTCTTAGATATGGCCCCCAAAGCACAATTTATAAAAGAACCATTGATAAATTGGACTTCATCAAAATCGAAAACATCCAATCTTTCAAAAAGACTGTTAAGAGAATAAAAACAAGCCATGATCTGGGAGAAAATGTTTGCAAAACATATATTTGGCAAAGGATTTATGCCCAGAATATATAAAGAACTCTCAAACCTTGACAAGAAAACAGACATCTGATTAAGAAGAAAATATGAGAGGGGTGCCTGGGTGGCTCAGTTGGTTAAGCATCTGCCTTTGGCTCAGGCCACAATCCCAGGGTCCTGGGATCGAGCCCTGCTCCTTGCTCAGCAGGGAGCCTGCTTCTCCCTCTGCCTGCAGCTTCCCCTGCTTGTGCTCTCTCTCTGATAAATAAATAAAAAATTTTAAAAAAAGAAGAAGAAAATATGAGAATGGGCTTTATAATATACCTAGCTTTTTACAGTTCCTTTATATCATGGTGAGAAGTTATATTTTGTTCATCCAGAATCCCCTCACTGTTGAGAGTTAATCAATTTCCTACCCCTGGCCCCCCTGATGCTAACTTGCTCTTAGTAATTCTCCCTCCTTCCCTCACCCTTCTGGCTATCCATGTATCCCCACCTTGTCCTCCTCATATACTACCCTGACCTCAATCTCTCTCCCTTATAGCTATAGTCTTGAATAAAATCCTCCTGGCCACGGGGTGTCTGGGTGGCTCAGTTGGTTAAGCGTCTGCCTTTGGCTCAGGTCATGATTTCAGGGTCCTGGGATCGAGCCCCAGGTTGGACTCCCTGCTCAGCAGGGAACCTGCTTCTCCCTCTCCTCCCAGCTTGTGCTCTCTCTCTCTCTCTAATAAAAAAAAAGATCCTCCTGGCCATGTTTTCAACAAGCACCTGCTGCAATTTTTCTCTATGACGAACTTCAGAAAGGTCTAGAGCACACCTCCCGAGGGAGAGCCCTGGGGTGGTCATGCCAGGAGCCTGGCTACATCTTTGTACCCACCAGCCTCCATCTTAGCCTTCCTCATGGGTTCTTTTTTGTTTTCATTTCTTTATATCACCCATTCACAAGAGTTTATACAACATGAATAACACTGATAGTGCATGAACCAACTACCTGAATTAAGAAAACACATAATCCAAAAAAAAAAAAAAGAAAAGAAAACACATAATTCCAGTATGCAAGACACTCCATGTACGCTCCCTTATCACCTTCTTGCTGTTTCCCCCTCCCCCACTGAGGGTCCCTCCATCTTGAGGCTCATGAGAACCATGTTCCTGTTCTTCTTGATGGTTTTACCACCTACCCATCTTTGAGCAATACATTGCTTCCTGCTGCCTGATTTGGAAGTTTATATAAATGGGACCACACCATATATTTCTTCTGTGACTTGACTCTGTTTCACCACGGTTTTTTACATCTCAGTGCCTTGATTCCCACTCCTATACAGAATTCTGCCACATGAGCATTCCATTGTCTACAGATGTGTCCACCATTCCCGGGCACTTGTGTTGATTCTGGGTTTTGCTATCATAAACACCATTATGAACATGGCTCTCAGCGGGTACCCGCAAGAGTTTGTATAGTGGTTCTCAAATTTGAGCACATTCAGGATCACCTGGAGGGCCTATTAAAACGTAGATGGCAGACCCACCCCTGAAGTTCCTAGTTCTTTAGGTTTGCCAGAGGTGGAAGCGTGGGGAGCATATTTGTATTTCAAACTTTTCAGGCCTCGCTGAGGATGCTGGTTTGGGGACCACACTTTGAGAACCAAGGTTTACACCTAGAAAGGAAATTGCTACCTTATAAGACACACCCATTCAACGTGCCTGGAAAAGGCCAAGCTACAGCCAAGCACGTGGGTGTGGGTGGGGTGAGTTCTTACTGCCCCATAAGCTGCTGGTTACAGTCGGGCAAGAGACACAGTTATATTAGGGACAGTCTTATCTTTCCATGTCCTTCAATGTGGCTTTTAATATTGTTCCAAATATTGTTTGGCATTGATTATGAAGATGGGGTCAACTTGAAAGAGGCTGATGATCCATGACCTTAAGACACGTGACAGCAGTAAAGGGGGCTGTCTCTCACGAAGTAAATACTATTATCATTCCCACTTGGGAGACGGGAAGCCAGGCTTAGAAACCAGGGAGGAATAGCTGTCTTATAAATGAGATCATACAGCTGCAAATGTCTGCATTGGGATAAAATTCAGATCAGACTGATTTCAGAGGCCAAGTTTGGTTCCCACCAAAAATAAGTCTTGATTCTGGCGAAAAAAGGCACCCCATGTGAGGGAGTCTTACAGTGATACCTCAGGGTTGCAGCTGGAGATGGAACCAGGCTGTGGGCATGGGACAGCACAGTGGTCCTTGCACCCGGAGCCCAGGCCAGTTCCCAAGGGAGCCCGTCAGCGTTCAGCATCTTGCCTGGCTTCCCAGGCTTAAATTGCACCCCATCCACCAGTGTCGGCCAAGGCAAAGCGTGGACACCACCCTGGGCGGCCAGATGGGCCCCAGCTGAGCAAGTGAGGGATCACATCGGCCAGCATGGTAGGAGAGATAAGTAAGCAGCATCTTGGGGGGCGGGAGGGTGGGTGGGCAGCAGCATCACGGTCTACAAAGGGCAGCCCTCAGACACAGCTCCTGCCCACACAGATAGAGGTTTTCAGGCAGCAACTTACTGTGTCCTGATTTTTCCCTGCCTTATCAGCCAGTCCATTTAGTAACAGATGACTGGATCCAGGATCTGAGTCAGTGATTTTTCCTTTAGAATTAAACATCTTCTTCTTTTATGAGTGCGGCCTAAAATCAAGCACATCAGGATTCACACAATTCAGAAGCCAGGCACCTTCAGCCCCAGAACCACACCCACTACGAGACCCAGTGGGACAGGCTGTGGGCTCCTTAACTCTTTAGGGACTGGAAAAAAATTGACGAAGAGCCAAATGATGGATGGAGACAGACCTGCCTACCAGTTCAGCCGTCTTCAGGAATGTGCTCCCAGATCCCAAGAGTCTTTCCAACTAGGTATTTCCTGTTACAATTTTAGGTTGAACATCAAAAATTTCTTCGCCATAAATTTAAATAGTGGCAAAGAATGAAATGACAGAGGCGTTTTTAAGATTCACATGTAGGGGCGCCTGGGTGGCTCAGTCGGCTAAGTGTCTGCCTTTGCCTTGGGTCATGATTCTGGGGTCCCGGGATAGCGTTGGGCTCCCCACTCAGCAAGGAGACTGCTTCTCCCTCCCTCTGAACCCCCACCCCCACTCCCACCCTGCAATGCGGGCGTGTGCATGTGAGCTCTCTCTCTCTCTCTCAAATAAATAAGTAAAATCTTTAAAAAAAATAAAATAAAATTCACATGCAAAAGTAAAATTACTATAGAACCACTTCCTATGTAGCTGCAAGATTCTGAATATTGTGGAGATTTGATACCCAAACTTATAGTTGAAAAAAATACCCGAACTTTAAGTTCTTTTACTCTGTTCCCTTTGCTACCGGCTTCATAATTTTATTCCATTTCCCCAGTGTAAGTGTATCTTAATGTCCTTTATTCTATTTTTTCCAGTTTTATTGAGAAATAATTGACATCCATCTCTGCATAAGTTTGAGGTATACAGCATGATGGTTTGATTTACATACTTTGTGTATTTTGAACCTATTCTGATTACCACAACAGGTTTGGCTAACATCCACCTTCATATATAGATACAATATTATTTTGTTTTGAAAGAAGTTAATCAACAACTTTAGCGTACTCGTCTGTATCCAAAAAATACATACAGAGATATTTGAAATTCACTTTTAAAAATGTCTGGAACCACAATATTAAATGTTAAATTTTACACATCTAATAACCTCAGGTAAAAGTAAGTGAAAATTTTTCTGTAACTTGAAATAAGTGTTATGAAAAATATAAAGCACCTACTTACCTCCAATACACCTTCCTTTTAACTTGACGACGTAATGCTGACTAGTTGAACAGAACTGCAGAGCCGTTCTCCTACACCTCCTTGAAATCATGCGAAATTTACAAATCAGACCACAAATGGGTGAATAAGTGTGAGTGCTCATCAAGGTCCCACTGCTGAGAACGGTGGGCAGGGGACGCGCAATGAAGCAAGGTCATAGTTCTCCGAATCCTTTTGGTAAATCTTAAATATTTTAGTTCTAAGATAGATGGATAAAGTAGAGAGCCTTACTGTGAATTTACTGCCTGAATCAATGATTTTTTTTCTCATGCTCTCTGTGCTTCTTTTCATAAGACCCTCCCCCAAGAGCTATGCAGTCGTCCTTTAACATTGGGACAGTTGAGGGGGTGCCTGGATAGCACAGTCAGTTGGGTGACTGACTCTTGGCTTCTGCTTGGGTCGTGATCTCAGGGTAGTAGGATCGAGCCCCGCATTGGGATCCGCGCTCAGTGAGCGGGGTCTGCTTGAGATTCTCTCTTCCTCTGCCCCTCCTGCTCATGCTCTCTCTCTCAAATAAACAAATAAATCTTAATAACTAATAAATATTGGGGCGGTTGAAAGAGCCAGGTTAAAAAAACAAAAGGGAGAGAGGCATGTATTCCTTTTATCGCAAGTGGGAGAAAGGTTTTTTGAAAGGCAATCAATTGTAAAGAGTACTTATGGAATATGGCAATCTGGAAATTTATTTTCTTACCTCCCCTCCTCCCCTACCATGCCTTTGGAAATGCTTTGTGTGCTCAGGGGGTCCCCAGCTGGGGCCCCAAGTTGAAGACCACAGCCGCCTCAGTTGGCCCTAATGCACCCAGACAGGTGGCATCGGTGGTCCCTGGGGCTTGTACCCCCATGACCACGGGTTATTTTCGGTCAACAGAAGATTTTGTGAATATATTTCCCTCCTCCGTTTCATAAAATGACATTCCTTTTACACAAAGTCTTACCCGTACATCTTAAATGTTTGCACCTTTCACAGATCATCTTTGAAGATCACTTTGGATGTCAGGAGCAGGGCAATCTCAGTAATTAAAGCCCGTTTCTTACTTATCCATTACACTCCACATCCTGCTGCACCTGTCAAACCGAACTGAATGCATTCACGCATTTTGGCCTTGATGGAGTCAAGTTCTCAGGCCCAAACTGCTCATAAAATGTCTAACCCATACAGAGTGTTTACAGACAAGACTGCGGGGAGTTCTGAGGTGGGCACACCACCCCCACACCTCTGTCCATGCTCATCTTCCCCACCCCCCAGCAGCCGGGGAGGCCTCTTCGCTCACTGCCAAGGTTTGGGGCAGGGGGTGGAGATACTAGCTAGGGCGGGTCTGTGAACTCTCTGGTGTCCACTCTCCATTGAAGGTGGCTGCCCAGCTGCCCCTTGCACTTTGGATTTCAGAGGGGGCAAGTCTACCAGCGGCTTCCACACCCAGACACCACCCACCAGCAGCGTCACTGGAGAATCTCTGCGGTCGGGGGCGGGGGTGGCATCCAGGGTGCCCAGTGGGCTGCTCCCTGTGTGGGAAAGCCTTCTCAGCCCAGACCTCACAAAGGTCTCCCAATCCCTAATAAGAACCACCTACCAGTGCGTCCTGCTGAATGCCTGATTCAAAGTCCGAAACTTGCCCAACAAAATTAAGTCCAGTTTTAAACATAATCCTGGCAGAACTCACACTTACTTTTTCTCTGGATGTTTTGCCTTCCAAAAACCCACTGACATTTAAATTTTTCATGATGGAAGGGGAGAACATCTTGTGCTTTAGACCTGATGTACTCTACCTAACTATGCTGGGCTCAGTGCTGGGAAGTGGGGGGAGGGAAGCCAGGGAGGAAATGGGGGCGGGGGGCTGTCCACATGACAGGGGTTCCTGGCCGTCCTGGCCAGCAGCTCTGTTCCAAAGTGGAAAACTGACATAGTTAGACATTTTAGGAGCCGTTTGGGACTGACAGCTGGGGGTTGCATCACTTGACCCTGCTTCTGACAAAAACCCGGTTTAAAATTTGACCAAATAGGGCGCCTGGGTGGCTCAGATGGTTAAGCGTCTGCCTTCGGCTCAGGTCATGATCCCAGGGTCCTGGGATCGAGTCCCGCATTGGGCTCCCTGCTTTGCGGGAGCCTGCTTCTCCCTCTGCTTCTCTCTCTCTCTCTCTCTCTGTCTCTCATGAATAAATAAATAAAATCTTTAAAAAAAAAATTTTGACCAAATAATTTCGAGAATCCTACATGCACACCTCAGCGCTCACCCGTGATGGAGAGTGCAGGTCTCAGGGCCTGGTTCCCTCTGTCAGCCCCCAAGACTGTCTTACCTTCCTCCATCCCCGAAAACTAGGATGTCCCCCGCTCAGTCCCACCCCGCTGCACAAGCCACAGCGAAGGGAGACCCTGGGCAGCCCTCCATCTCCCGGCTTGCGGGTACGCTGGAAAAGGCACCCCCCCCTCCCCGGACGCCTTGGTCCTCCCACCTGCCGCTCCTTCCAACTGGGCTGCTCAGCTACTCAGACCGCCCTCTAGCGGGGGCCCTCCGCTCGAACCTCCCTGTACTCAGCAGGATAGTGCAGACCCCTTGTCTACGCACTCCCACTGTCGACTTGTCTGGTTGGCACTCCTTAGCAGTGTGAAAAGTAATAAAATTAAAACCTCACTAAGGTAGTGGAGAGGCCGGAAGGGGCCTGTACCATTCCTCCTCAATCATACAAAGGACTGTCAATCACAGACCCTAACAGCAGAGAATAATCATCAATTAGAGGCCCCAACGGGGAAAGATGCACACGGCATCTCCTACAAGAGATCGGCCACTCCTGCAACTCAGCCAACAAGAAACAGCCATCTCCCTGAAACCCTTCCATTTCTCCACTGGACTTATGTTCAAACAGCCCCTCCCAACCCCCTTCCAGAAAACAACGTTCCCGTCCTTTTGTTTGTTGGACTTGTCTAGGGTTTGGCCAGAGCTTGCGTATCCCGGATTGCAGATCTCGGCTATTCCCAAATAAACCCACTTTCGCAGGCAAAACAACTCACTGTTTTATTTTTAGGGGTAATAGCAGGAAATATAAAAGGATCCAAGCGATGGTCCACCTTTAAGGTGGGCTTGGGGGCCCCGCAGCGGTGGAGATGAAACTTTCTTAGTGCGCACCCCTTGACTAGCTCCCTGGGAGACCCCCTTGGCCGCCATCCCCTCTGCCTGCGCACCTCCCCCAGCAGAAAAGCCCGCAAGGCTGGGTGGGGGGGCTGTTTCTGATGAGTCATCAGGAGCACTAGCACCCTGTTGGCCAGGAGCAGAATCCGGCGTGCTTGAGTACAGCCAACATCTCCATCACTATTAGCACCATCATTACCGTGACTAGCTTCTACAATCTCCCGTGCCCCTGGGGAGCTGGTCTCCGCAGCCACCAACCCGCCCGCCCCCGCAGCTCGCTGGAAGGTGCCGGGACCCAGAAGGTGCCGGATCCAAGAGCGAGACACTCACCTGTCCCCGCGCGGCCGCGAGCGTCACCGGCAGCCTCTCTGCTTTTATGCAGCGCCAGGCGCCGCCCCTCACTACCCGCCGCCGCCGAGAAACGAAACTCCCTGTAAGCGAGGGAGGGGGGCCGGCGCGGCGCAGAAGCGAACCGAACACCCCACCCCCACTGCCTCCCCTCGACCACCGGGAGCCCGCAGGCCGCTGAGCCCCCGGGTGGGCCCATCTGCAGCCTCTGCCGGGCGCTCGGGGTGTGGTCGTGCCCATCCCAGGCCCGCGCACTCGGATCCCCGGGAGCTGGAGGGAATTGCAGACCCCGGGGCTACGACCTGCTGAATCAGAAACTCAGGTGCAGGGCCCCGGAAGCCAGTTTGAGAACTGCTGCTCTATTAGCCTGGAGTCATCCAGAGCTGAAGGTAGTCTTGAACCTAGGCAATCCCTTAATGCCTGGTCTTCCGAACAGGTGCACTGATAATTGGGTGTCTTAAATTCCTGCCAGCGGTTCCCCCGATCAGTCCAACCCCAGCAGGGATTCGCAAGCGTTCATTCTATGTTAATGACCGACAACCGCCCTCCCCTTCCCCTACAGTGCTCCCCCAGCCAACTTCCCCTCCCCATGCAGACAGTAGTTGTCCTTAAAAATAGAAACAGTTTTACCACTAAAAGATGGGTTTATTGGGGAATAGCAGAAACATGGTAAATCGGGACAAGCAAGCTATGGCAAAACCACAGGCAAGTCCAACAAACAGGAGAGGAACAATATGTTACGGAGAAGATGCAGGAAGTCGGGAGGGGTTGTTCTGAACGAAAGTCTGTTGGAGAAAAGCAAGCATTGGGGTGACGGCGGTTTCTGGTTGGCGGAGTTGCAGGGGTGGCCGATTTCTGGTGGGAGATGCAGAGTGCAAGTTTCCCTGTTGGGCCCTAACTGATGGTTCTCCCCTGTTGTGGAGTCTCCTGCTGGGTCTGTGATTGGCCTGTGATTGATGACCTTTCCTGTCATGACTCCCAGGGGCACAGCTCCCCTACCTGCCTCCCCATCTAGCATCCGGAATCCACTTCAGTGAGCTTCTCTTTATTTTCACTAGACCCGCATCATCTTCTTCCTTGCCCACCTCAAGTCCTCTCTGGAGTCGGGCTCATCTGATTTCTCCAGGATGGCGATGGGTGGAAGGCGGAGGCTGAGGGCAAGCAGGCCCAAGAGTGGCCCTCCGTGGGTGGGGAATACCATTTCGTTTTGGAAGAGGCCGGCCCCTACCTCCATTCTCCTTAGCTCAGCTCAGAGTCGAAGACAACAAGCTCCCCAAAGACCGTGTTAGGAAGGGTCAACCCCCACTCCACTCGAAGGCCCAGAACCTGCCTCAGCTCCAAGCCTGGGGTCAGGAAAAGATTAGATGGATGGGAAGGAGGCCCCACAACGCGGATGAAGTCCCCTTGCTCTGCAGGGCCCGGTGCCGGGGGCCGGGCAGGCGCAGCTAGCATGGCCTGGCGGAAGAACACAGGCTCTCCCCATAATCAGTGAGGAACTTTGGTCCAGCCACTCATCTCTCTGGGCCTCAGTTACTTCCTAGTCATGAGGAGGAGTGACACCATTTCCGGATGGGCTGTGAGCAGGCTGGAGGAAAAAGTGCACGGATACACAGCAGAGTGTGAGCAGGCGTGCAGAGAGACATCAGTCCGAGGAATGATGGGACTTTTTCAAACACAGGACGCTCTCCCCAGCCACTCTTGTTGAGGAATGAAATCTGAAAGAAACCAGAAATCAAAAGTGACAACCGGGTGGAACCGGCCAACCCCAGAGCCAGGACTAGGGGAGGTGAGTGATCCGTCTGCCGTGCAAACTGAAGGCGCCGCTCGCCCGCTGGCTCTCGGTGGCGCGAGCACCTCCCTACATTTGGCGCCCACACACTCCACAAGCCTCCCCTTCGCAACTCCAGAGACTCCTGGTCTGAGATTCTGGTACCTCACTGTTTCTAATGTGCTCATTATATGAAGTTCCCTGAAGAGCCCAGGGGCTTGTGAGGGGTGTAATTCAGAAATAATACAATAATGACTTCCATATGCTGAGTAAGTATGTGCTACATGTCAGCCTATAAGACTAAGTCACCTTCACATCCATCCTATGAGAGGAGTAGGGTTATCACTCCCTTTTTACACGTGAGGAGACGGAGACCCAGGATCAGGTCAGTGCTGGCTTGCATAGCTCAGAAGTGGCCAGGAAGCAGGAGAGCTATGACTGCAATCTTGGGTTTTAGTCCTGTGCTCTGGAGCATCTCCCCTTCTGTCTTCCAGAAGCTCACAGCTTTCTACCTGAATTACTGACGATTCCTTCTCCACTAAAAACAAACAACAAAAAACCCACGGATTACTCTCTATTCTACCAAATAAGTGTCAAACTCTTAGCCTTTGAGAATTGTCCTTCAGGCTCCACACCCTATCCAGACATCCCTAAACGCAGCCCACAGTTCTGTTGCCTGTCCTTCCTCCTAGGCTTCCAGAGACATTCTCCCCCCCCACCCCCCACGATACTCCCTGTCTGTGCAGCTGCCCTGGGGAGCTCCTTCCAGCCCCCACTCAGCCCCCTATCTTAGCTCAGTCTCAGATGCTCTTGCATCTCCGATGGATGTTGTGGATAACGGGGGGGGGGGGGGGGGGAGGCGGCTATCACCTCGATGCGGGTGTCACGTCCACAAAGGCAACCTTGCATCCCTGCAGTGCCTACCACCCACTGACAGTAGGTACTCAGTAAGCATGGGCTGAATTTAACCGGACTGAGGGGACCAGCAACCCCAGCCCCTGGGGCTCCCACCATGGTCAGCCGGTACTGTCCTCTTACTATTGTTTTCTGCTTTCATTTAAAGGCACCTGGCGAAAACAGAGCATCCACGGGAAGCATAGTAGCAGACAATCACATTGACCCCAACCCCTGCTGCTAGCGCAGTCACAGGTGCCCAGGGCACTCCAGGTCTCGCTGGCCCTTGTCCAGCCCTCTCTTCACCTGCCAGGCCCGGCCGGCCCTGACCCGCTGAGGACAGCCATGCTGGGGTTCATGGAAAGCCATGCCTGGCAAGCTCCGAAGCATTGCTCCCTACCTCCAAGCCAGTGCATTTCCGTCCAGCTTAAATGCCGTAGTGTGCCCTACTGCAGGAGTGGGAGTGGGTGGGGTATTCCTAACTGCTTAGCTTGGTGTGCCAGGCCTGCCCGTGCGCAGCCTCACCTGGCTCAGCCCCACTCTCACTGCTTAATGTAACACCTTGCCCACTACACACAACTCCTCCCTGCTCAGGGGTGCTCCTCCTCCTGCCCCTGCACGCTGGACTTCTTCCCAGCTCACAGCCTCCCGCCATCTTTCCCAGACCTAGTGGACCTGCCTCCTCAGGGCCCCAGGTTCCCTCCCATCCCCAACCCCAACGCAGCCTCATCACACTACCTTGACCTCTGTGCACGCCCGTTCTGCCACCAGGTTGTCCACAGGGCAGCACCAGGCCCGTGGGATCTAGCAGAGGTCGTGGCACATAGTATTTCCATAGATGTTTCTAGAATGAACTAATGAGTGAATGAATGGTGGGTCCGAGGACAGGCTCTGATCCTACAGACAGTGTCCTCAGACGGCCCCCGGGGAATTACCCTAACCTCCCCGATCTCGCGTTTCCCAGACAACTCGGTTACATTCTCAGTTTCTTTTCTTCTTCCCAGAGAGCGGCACTGAAAGTCCTGCGAGCTGGAGGAGCGAGCGAGGCCGGAAGAGGAGGGGGCGAGGCCGGGAGGATGAAGATAGAGCGGAACCGGAGGAGGAAGGGTGGCGCCGGTGGAGGCTCTCTGGCTCGGGTTCCTCTCGCAGGTGCAGCGCGGCCTGGACGCCGTCCTGCGGGGGCGGGGCGGGGGCGGAAGGGGGCGGAGCCAGAGGAGGGAGCCGGCCTGGGAGGAAGAGGGACGGCGCGGGTGGAGGCTCTCTGGCCGGGGCCCGTCTCGATGTCCAGCTCGGCCTGGACGCGGTTCTTGCGGGTGTCCGGGAGGGGGAGGGGCGGGGGTGGAGAGGGGGTGAGGTCTCGGGGGGGGGGCGGCGCTCGCGGGGCGTCTGACGCCGTCGGGGCCGAAGGGCCGAGCAGTGCGCCTCCGCGCAGCGGCCTTTCTCTGCTGCCCGGAGCGTGAGTGTTCTTTGCCCCGCTTTGTTTTCTCCTCCGTAGACCCGCGCTATGGATTCGTGCTTCTCGAAGGAGGGGCCGGCAGCATTGGCTTCCCCTGGAAGCTTGTAAGAACTACAGGGCCTAGGGCCACCCCCAGACCACTGAATCAATCTGCATTTTCGGGGGATTCTCCAGGCCCTTCGTGAAAGCTTCTTTTTCCGATAAGGGAGGCAGTAGCACTGTCACCTGCCTTCCCAGGACCTTTCCCAAAGGGCTTCTGGAAACTGGGAGCAATCTGTTCTTTCCACCAATTCTCAAATTGCAACCCAGGCCGCTTCATTCCTCCTCTGCCTGCGACTGGGCTCAGTATTTCATACTATAGAAAGTGGGATGTTTGCTTGGGCAGCCCATATACAGTGTACGAAGTGGAGAGACCCCCACACACTTGATCTTAGCCAAAAGGCCGAGAAACGATGTGACCCCCACACAATATCTCTATTAAAAATGCCATCCCTTGGCTGTGGAGCATCCATGCCATATTAACCCTGTCAGATACTGGGCCAATTTCTTTACACACCATCTCCAATAGAGCAAGAATCAGTCAAATAGGAAGTGAAGGCTCAGAGAAGTGGACTCCTTTGCCCCAAATCACACAGCTAGTGAGAAATGGCGACTCCTTTCCACATTTTCACTAGCCATCCTGTTCTCTGTGTTGCCTTTGCAAGCACCCGCCAGTCATCACTCATTGCTCCGAAAAACATTTCTAAAACGACTGCGGTGTTCCAGGTACCATGACAGGAACAGGCTTCTGCACTGAAGAGGCACTTCCACACTGCCTGTCGATCACACTCACTTGGGCAGCTTTAAGAAAAATCCAGTCAATTCTATTTACAAAATGCCATCC